TAGGTCGTGTCAGTTTTGTTCGTTTTAACGATCCACAAATCCAACTAATTCCCGCTTGTCCTTGAAGACAAAGGGGCTGGTCCGGAGAAATTTACATTGCAGAGAATCGAACCTATTACTTAAGCCATAGTAATCAACCTCGTAAGTGATTTTTGTCACCGAGTGAAGTTAATATCACAAGCTAATTGATAAAGTAACTTGATAAAAATCATCATCGTTTATGAATTTGCAAGAAATACCTATCGTTTTATTTTCCCTATTTAGGAGTCATTAAGCCTAAAGCGAAAGGAAGTTAATTAAGGCTTTTTATTAATTTGCAAGGCGTAATGGTCTACTAAGGAATAATATCCTGAACTTTGCATATTATTACGATGATATAATTTGTTTCATTTTATTTTTACGATTGCATCCTAAAATGAAATTTAGATATTAATTAGGGGTGCTGCAATGTGCATAGTACAAAGTATTTTTTTAATTTTTTACACATTAATTTGATGAATCAATTCATTTTTTTTCCTCTAATCTCTCTCAATAATTTGAACAATATAAGAATTGTTGTAGGGAGACAATATGCTTTTTTTTTTTTTTTTTTTTTTCGTTACCTCATTTTTTTTTTATTTAATGCTTGGCACGAGGTTTTTAAGGTCGTAGGGTCAGTTTTGATTCGATTTATAACGATCCCACAAGATCCAAGCTATATTGCCTCGGCTTGTCCTTGTGAGGAAGCAAAGGGGGCTTGGTCCGGAGAAATTTACAATTGCAGAGAATCGAACCTCTTCACTTAAGCATATGTAATCACCTCGTAAGTGATTTTTGTCACCGAGTGAAGTTTAATATCACAAGCTAATTGAATAAAGTAACTCTGATAAAATCATATCGTTTTATTGAATTTGCAAGAAATAGCTTATCGTTTTTTATTTTCCCTATTTAGGAAGTCATTAAAGCCCTAGGAAGCGAAGCGAAGTTAATTAAGGCGTTTTTTATTAATGTTGTAAGGCGTCATGGTCTACTGAAGGAATAATTATCACTGAACTTTGCTATTATTACGATGGATATAATTTGTTTCATTTATTTTTACGATTGCATTAAAATGAAATTTAGATATTTAATTAGGGGTGCTTGCATGTGCATAGTATAAAAAGTATTTTTTTAATTTTTTTACACCATTAATTTGATGAATCAATTTCATCTTTTTTTCCTTTCTAGTATTCTCTCTCATTTTGAAACAATATAAAAGAATTGTTTTGTAGGGAGACAATAATGGCTTTTTCTTTTTTTTTTTTTTTTTGTTTGGGATTTGAAAAGGGACAAAGGAGCCAAAAATTACATGAGAAGCCGTTCCCTAGGATATGAGATAACCGCCACAAATATCACGAAAGAAGCATCTGGAGAATGCCTTTAGGGGCCCTTGTCCAAATATGATTCCTTTTTTTTTTTTTTTTTTTTTGTTTGGATTGAAAAGAAAAAGGAGCCAAAAATTACATGAGGCCGTTCCTAGGATAAGATACCCCACAAATATCACGAAGAAGCATACTGAGAATGCCTTTAGGAGGCCTGTCCAAACTATGATTCCCAATGCTTGATGTGGACGCATAATGAGCCATCCAATTCGCACGACCATTAGCCTCACAATAAACATACAAAATTTTATAAACCGCATTTTATAAAACGCTAAAAAGTTAAGTATTATATGAGTTAATTTTTTATAAAACACTACCTTAATTTCTAAGAGACAGTTCATATGTTACCAAACACTATAAAAAATAGCGTTCAGTTAAAACGCTAAAAGCTACTTAAAAACCTGTTATCGAACACGGCTTTAAGTGGAATAATTTTCATTTTGACTCTCGAGGCATGTTCAGAGATACTAGTGGTTCTAGTAGTTATTAGTTGTTCTAATAGTTGTTAACTGTTTTAGTAACTGTTAAGCAGTTAGCTATTAGCTGTTTAAATAGTGGTTAAAAGCGAAAGTGTTTGGTAAAAACAGTCGTTTGACTTGTAATAAATTTATAATGACAAATAGGACATTAAAATATTCACATAGGAGTTTCAATTAAATTCCTTATAAAAAAATGATTTCACTAAACTTAAATTTTCAAATTTTAAGGGAGTAAAAATTAAAAAGTTCACTATTTGATAAATAAAATTGAAAATTTTTAATATTTTAGAGGATTAACATTTTTAATTTTTAATATTTGTTTGAGTTTAAAAATAAATATATAAAGAAAGTTTTTTTTTTTTTTACTATCAATTATAAATAAGCCAAATTAACATAAAGATAATAAATCATGTAATGTGATAACAAAAAGTTTTGACATTAATTAAGGATAAAGATAAGGTTGTAAAAAAAAAATTTCAGTAAAAAGAGTGAAATAATAAACGTTATGTGAGATAACATTTTAGAAAACACTTCATAATCTACATTATGTATCAAGTTACCAAACACAATAATTTAAAAGAAACACTAAATGCTACTCTAAACCTATTGCCGAACACGCCCTTGAACTTGTTTAGCTGGATCAAAAAGATTATATTTGATATTTGGTCAATTTAACCCTTGAATTTGTTTTTTTTTTTAAAATCATATTCAACATTTTAAAGAAATTTAGCCCTGATTAAAAAAATAAGAGTAGCCCTTGTTATTTTGTTTTTGACAATAGAGAAAGAGGACTCAAACTTGGCATTTGCAAGGTAAGATCCTCATTTAGCATTAAGTGAAAACCTGCAAATGAGTGATGGATTGGATATTAGAAATAAAGGGAAACCCATACGCAACATCACATTTAATATTGGGTGATGAGCAAGAACAGGCTATGACCTGATTCAAGGTTTCTGATTCTGGCACGAGTACCACCTGAACCCTCTTTTTATTGAAAGAGACTCTAGTGTAAGTCTAACGTACTCCATCCATCATCTTTTTTTTTTTTTTTTTATCTGATTCTCCATTCACATCATCCTTTTTTTTTTTTTTTTTTTTTTTTTTTTTTTTTTTATCTGATTCATCAATCAACCCACAAGCATCATGTGTTTCTACTCTTCAAAATCAAGATTTTGCCTACTCAGGCTTTCTAAAAATGTAGAACCAGTTGGCCTTTGATGAATTCACAAGCTTCACATATTTAGCCTGTAAAGCTCATGTGCCTTGCCCATTGTGCTTCGCTGTATACCAGCCAAAGGCTTTTTGACTTTGATTAAAAATTGCTCTCTTGCCTCAAATTGGTCAATAACATAAAATGATAATAGTTACAAAAAAAAAATATATAAAATCCATCAATTTTCTCATACTGAAATTGTCTTCTTGTTTGAGACGTAAATTAAACCAATTTTAAAAATAAAAATTAGAAAACGTAATTACTATATACATTGTCTTATTATAAGCATTTTCACGCTTTATTTGGGTATAAAGCTTATTTTATTTTAGAGTTCATTGACTCTAATATTATAAAAATAGTACATTGAACTCAAATATGTATTATCACTTGAACCACCTTTAATTATAGATAAGAAAGGACTTTTATATATCCAATTTAGTTATGCAATTGTTTTCTTAGTACATGAGAATGGATCAGTTTGAAAAAACAATATATATTGCAGAAATTTTTTTTTTTGTTTTTGTCGTCTCAATTGAAAATGGACTAGTTTTTGCCCGAAAGATTAACATTCTCTACTGAAATCAAAATCATCTCCAAACGATTTTAATTTTCTATATAGCATTTTTTATTCCTATAAGAATATTATGATGTATTCAAATTATAATCGTTATTATTGAGTTTATTGTATTTATATTAATATTTAATTAGGTTAGGTTTTAGGCATATAGGCTAGATATGTAAATAGCATAGATCTAAGATCTAAGTGATAGCTATAGATTTTGAAAGAATTATACTTTTTCTTTTCTTTGCTAAATTATTTAGATATGAAATTTTTAAAGAAGAAAATTATATAATGATTCGAACATCTAATTTTATCACGTACTAAGAAGTAAATATTAAACTATTAATTTATTATCTTAATGATATATATGCTTATAATCTTGTATTTAGTTGCGTTGATTAATTAAATTTATTATTGTTATTTTTTTTATTTATTTGGAAGACTTAACGAGTCAAAATAATATTCCGAGCTATATAATATAAGTAGTTTTCCTTGTACTCATTAAATTAATAAAAATATTTGTGATCGAGAAAATTCGAATTCAAGATTTCCTACTCCTTACGAGAAGAGCAACCAGACCATATTAGCATTTTATTATTATTATTATTATACATATGGAAAAAGTTTAATTGCAATTAAGTTTATGATCTTATTACAGAAGTCTACCTAAATAAAAAATTATGTGAATAACATTAATTAATTCAGATTTCTCTACTCACTTACGCAGAAGAGTCACGCAGACATAATTAGATTTATATTATTATTATGTATTATTAGACGATAGTGGAAAGTTTATAATTTGGCAATTTAAGTTTATGGATCTCTATTTACAGAAGTTCTTACCTAAATAAAAAATTATGGTTATGAATAACATTAATTGTAATTAATATATATAGTATATAGTAGTAATATATATATCTTATAAATATATTATATATATAGTAATATTTACAGCAAAATTCCAACTATTATATTATCAGATATTGTCAACTTTTCCTCTTCTGCTTGTTTCTTATATTCTATATTCGTAATTCAAAAGCTATATACTTACAGCAAAAATTCCAACTATTATTTTTAATTACGAGAATTATGCAAGTATTCGATTCTATTCCTTGCTTGTTCTAATCTATAACTGTAAACAAAACAAAGCCTTGGTGTCAAAAGCCTAACAATTCTCAGCTGAGGACCTTCCACGTGGCCTACCGAACATGATACCGTCACTATTCAGCACGTGAAGAAAAAAACTGTCAATCTCTAATTTACAACGACGTCGTTTTTTGGCAAACTGTACGGTACTCTGTACACCCGCCTAAACAACAGCGCTGGGTATAAATATCGCAGTCTTCTACAATAGTTACTCCTCCAGATTCCAGAGCCTCGCTCTGTGTTTCGTTGCTCAGCCAAACTTTTTCCTCTCTCTCTTCATCGCAATAACACAAATCTCTCTTCATAATCTCAGGTAACTGATACCGTCGGAGGATACGTGAACTGGTTCTTTTTTAATTCGTAGATGTGAGCAGATATTCAATATGATTTTCAATATCAGCTCCTTTAATTTGATAATCCAAATTGTTTTTCCTTTCATTTTGCGCTTAAATTTAAAAACTGAATCTGATACTTAAAACTTTTGTGTGTGTTTGAATTGCTTGCTATATTGTACATTGATTATAGCTTTACTTTCAATTCAATTTTGGCGCATTTATGTCTTCTGATACTTGTTTCTTCTGTCCCATCTTGCAAACTTTTCATTTGATTTGACTTTTACATGCATTAGGCCTCGTTTTTCTGGAATAGAATAATAAGAAAGTATCATCCTTTAATAAACTGTGAATTTTGTTTCCATAGGAAAAGAAAATGGAAATGTTGAATGCCAAGCACGTTTTGCAGATTGTTCATTGGTTGGGATGATTATTGCGGTACTAATCATAATTAGGTTTCTTCCTTTCTTGACAACGATTTTTTTTTTTTTTTTCAATTTTTGTATGGAATAGAAAGATTAATACTAAAACTTGGGCATTTTCAACCCCTGCAGATAGAAAACATATTATTAATCCGACCCGTGATTTCAGATTTTTATTTCTGATGCACCTGACTTACCTTGTTAGTTTTTACTTTTTATCATTATGGCAAAAATCAATGCCCTCATTAGACTTCATTAGATCTTTTTGTTGGTCATTGCATTTGGTTTTCCCACTCAGACATTTGATTCTTAGATAGATGGAGTTTCCCTTGAATATAACTAGAGAGATTTAATTTGGGTTAATGAACATATATAATATTATTCCTCCAATGAATAAATTGCAGCAGCAGTCATTGTTCTGTGTATGAATTTTGTTGTTTTTTTTTCAGTTTCTGTGATTCTTTCAAGCATTTCTCATAATTGCATCTGCCCTTGTCTTATTACTAAAAGATGCCGGCTGCCATGCCCAATACGTCTGATAAAGATGGTGAGCCATTTGTTGAAGTTGACCCTACTGGAAGGTTTGGACGGTATGATGATCTGCTTGGTGCTGGTGCTGTGAAGAAGGTTTATAGAGCATTTGATCAAGAAGAAGGGATCGAGGTGGCTTGGAATCAGGTGCGATTGAGGAATTTTATTGAAGATCCAATACTCATCAACAGGCTCCATTCAGAGGTTAAGTTGTTGAGATCACTAAAGAACAAGTATATCATTGTCTGCTACAGCGTATGGCTGGATGAAGAACATAGTAAACTGAATTTTATTACTGAGGTGTGCACGTCTGGAAATTTAAGAAACTACAGGAAGAAGCATCGCCATGTCTCTCTGAAGGCCTTGAAGAAGTGGTCAAAGCAGGTACTTGAGGGGTTAGAGTATCTACATACACATGACCCATGCATTATTCACAGAGACTTGAATTGCAGCAACATCTTCGTCAATGGGAACATTGGTCAGGTAATTAAGATGGACATTGCTTTGACTGCTTTATGAGTTGGTTTTCCTTTTTATCACTTCATGCTTTTTTAATTTGATCGAGTCTGTGATTTTGTTAGTCTATCTTAATTAGTGACATATAGCAGCCTTTAAGTTTTCTTTTTGGTTATCAGATCTTAATTTCCAGCGAACCATACAAATAATAGCTATTTTTGGCAAGGATTAACCTGTAGGCTTCAGTTTGTTTTGCCAGAAAACAGATCTTCAAATCAGCGCATTAGATACCAGAGTTGGAATTCACTTACCATTCTCTCAAGTTAAGATGGTCTATGATTGCCACAGAAGTCAATTTGCTGTTTCACTGCTGTTTTGGAATTTATCTTTATGCTCTAGGATCCAGGTGTTTTTAACTTGAATAAAATGTTGTATTCTCTAGTTTAGGATTCAAAAATGACAAATATATAGAAAAGAAAAGGGGAAAAAAAGGGGAAGGGGTATATGGTCCCCCTGTCGAGTTAGAACTAGCACTTCTCAATTAATCAATTTGTTATCCTTTTCTTTTATTGGTTCCCTTCTATGATTTCTTAGACTTGATGAACCATTAATCTTCCATATAGGTGAAAATTGGTGATCTTGGCTTTGCAACAATAGTGGGGAAGAGCCATATAGCGCATTCGATTATAGGCACACCAGAGTACATGGCACCAGAGCTTTATGAGGAAGATTACACGGAAATAGTAGACATATACTCTTTTGGAATGTGCTTGCTAGAGATGGTGACAACAGAGATACCATACAGTGAATGTGACAGTGTTGCCAAAATATACAAGAAAGTGACTAGTGGAGTAAAGCCCCAAGCCATGAACATGGTGACAGATCCAGAAGTGAAGGCTTTTATCGAAAAGTGCATAGCTGAGCCAAAGGCAAGACCTTCAGCTACTGAACTTCTGAAGGATCCCTTCTTTTCTGATGTCAATGATGATGAGACAGAGCCTGAGACAGAGCCCGAGCCAGAGCCCGAGCCAGAGCCAGAGCCGGAGGCTTGAAAACTTTTCTGGTGAATCATATGCCTGAAATTGATCTTTAACATTTCTTTGAATCAAAGTCACTCGTAAATAGGTTTTCTAGTCAAAATGTGAACCTAAATCTATATTCTCCTCCTATAATATACCTTATAGTATGCATTTCCCATTCAGCATTTTTATCATGTAAATAAATAGTGTGCACTGTGGTAGTAGTGTCTGTTTAGAGAGTGAATTCTCTTGCTAATTGGAGTTTATTGTAAATCGTTTCACGTATGAGTATTTGCAGTAATTCTCAAATTTTTTTCTGAAGTATCTTCATGATATTAATAACTTTATTTCACTAATTCCAGCAAGATCAATTAATTTTCGTTCTCAGTTTTCTTTTCTCTAATTCCTGCAAGATCAACCAACTGTTTTCCTTGTTTCATCTAATTGTTGTATAGATGAGAACTGATGAGAGCAGTTCAGTTATGATTGTTTGACTGATTCAATATAAGCACATAATATTAGTATCTGCAAATAATTAAGAGCAGAAAAATTAATTATTGAGTCTACCATTACATTACAGTGCTCTATCTAAGTTGTATTCTTTTTCTTCTGTTTTGTAAGTCTCTACTCCTTCACTGTTATGTGTTAAGCTCTTGCAATTCTAAACAAAGAAAGAAAAGCTTCCCTTTAATGTTCTACACTATTTTTCTTGATCAGCAATTGCATTATAGGTGTTTGTTAAAATGTAACTTTGAATCTTTTTTCTTTTTTTCTTTTTTTCTTTTTTTTAAACAACTTATCTTTCCATCGCCTGATTACAATCTTATCAAGTGGAAAAGTATTGCGAATGGTTCATTTTCTTCAATCAAATCATATGATTTGTGCTTTTAGATTATTGCAGTTTGGATATACAATGAATTTAATAATTAAAAAGAAACTTAAGGAAGGTTATAAACCAAAATGACTGGACACTGGACGACACATTGTTTAATGGCAGCTTGAAATATGAGCATCAATCCATCAGTAAATTAACTCGATCAAAATCATCAACGCTTATGAATTTCCAAGAAAAGAAAAGATAAAAAAACAAAGCTTTTGGATTTCGTAATTATCTTTTTATTTTCTCCTATTAGGAGATTTTAGATCAGTCAAATGTTAAATCAGGGTTAACAATTCTCGACTTCAAATTGTAATTGACACTGTGAAAAGAAATATTTTTAAAGAAATTTTCATTTAACTTTTTTGTTTTATCATATTTTTTAAAAAAATTAAAGATTTTATTAAATCGATATAGAGTTTTATGTGTTAGTCATTTTTAATAATAATATCCATTATTAGTATTTATTCAAATTATAAAATTGGAACTTCTGTTTTCAAAAGGCTCGAAAAGAATTATCTAATTTTATTTTCAAACCAAAATAAAATTGAAATCGGTAATTATAAAACCATTTTAGAAATCACCTAAAAACGATTTGATTTTCATTTCACCCTTTTTATAATCGAATAAGCTTGGTCTAATAGGCAACAATATTCTAAAATTTGATTGAAATCGGGAGAAAAAATTAGTTGATGGGTGCAATAGCAAAAATGTGTAAAGTAATATAAGGTATTTTTTAACTCAAATATGATTAATTAATCTATAATATATATATATATAAAATTTTTATCTGTCTCAAAATAATTTCATAAACACGAGAGTTATTCAAAGGGACAATGTTCATTTGATTTCATGCACAACTATCAAGATTACAAACATTTTCCATTTGTTGGTAAAAATTGCATAGAGTAAGAAAGTCTTTGTGTTGCTGGCAAGAAAATAAGCTGCCACTTGTCACACTGCAATTCGGTTAAAGCACTTCTTGAGGAGAAAGTATAATTCTCAATTGAACTAGTTACAAAGAAGGAAAAGAAAATCTTCATGAAAAATGGAAGATCTACAACAATTTTATGCGCTTAATCCTTTATTTTTTTTCAATTGCTCGATGTAAATTAAATCAAATTGATCGATAATGTATTTTTTTTTTTCTTTTTTGGAAGCCAAATAATCTTAAATGGATTGGAATTTGTAATTGAATAAAATATTTATTAATCAAAAAGTCATTAAAATATTAATAAGGGTTCATTTGGTCTAGTTGTTCCTGTGTACTTATAGCCGGTGGCTAATAGCAGTTAGCTGATAAACGTGGTGTTTGGTAAAAATTTTGATAGCGACTGTTGTTAAAATGTAAAATTACCATTAAGAATATAATTAATTTTATATATTATGATGTATGATGTACATATTTCTTATAATTTGTTAATATGAATATATTATTTTTTATTTTAATATATAATATAAATAAAAAATATTAATTAAATTTTCTTTAAAAAATAGTACAAAATTTTTTTATTTTGAATAACCATAAACAAAATTATCATAAAACATATTAATTTGAAAAAAATAATTTTAATTAGCAATTATTTTTACGAGATTAATAAGTCCAAATATTATATAAATACAAAACAACTATAAACTAATCTCCAAAAGGTAACAGATAGAATTAACAGTTGATTGAGATTTCTATTAACTATCTGTTCATCATAAAATTTATCAAATAATTAAAACTTTATATTGGATACGAATCACTATCAGTTATATGAATCAATTGAAATGAACGTCATTTTATTATTATAAAATTAAACGGTATCATAAAGAAGTTAATTGACTTTGAAAATTGAGTTGACTAATTGGGATTGAAGAATGAATTCTCAATCTCCTCAGGTTATCTAAACTGCAGAAAAAGTAGCTTCTTATGCGGGTTTAAAGGAAGAAATGACTTCAAATCTAAGAAACCCATAGCTGTAGGCATTATTGTTGCTGAGAATTTGGTCTTCCACCCATTATATAAACACCCACACACCTGCCTCCATAAATTAATCCAAAACCCCTTATTTCTTATATTGAAAAGTTTAATAAAATGAGGTTATTTGGTATGATTATTGTTTTTTTTTTTTTTTTAACTTTTACATGTCAATGGTCAAAGAATAATATAGTATCATAATCCCGAGAAGTGAGAAATGACGACAGAGATCCATTCTCTTTTAATTCAGAGGTATTCAATTCGACCTCTAAAAAAGGAATCCCTTTAAACACTTGAGGAGTGCTTTGCCCTTTTTTGAGCCTTTTCGGCTTGAATTTATATTAGTCGATCGGGCCAGCGTGAGTTTCGAATACTAGATAGTTATATATATATAACATGTTCATATTTATTTATTAAATAAAAAAACAGAAGAGAATTAACCCTATCAAGTATACGTATTTTGTAGATAAACATACAAAAATGTATTATTAGTGTATACAAAACTTAAAATATATCCTTGTGAAAATAGTAAACTTTTTTGGGATTGAGATTTGTTGGGAGGTCGCAAACAAAAAACCATCCAAAAGCAAAACCCTAAGTTTGAGAGGCCGTGCCGTCTTGGGAGTTAACACATGTACATATATAGCGTATGCTCCAAAGCAAACAAAACTTTACCTACACTTCAACTTTACTTTATTCACTTTTTACCTTCTCATTTCCCCATACTCTCTTTCAATAAACAAATAAATAAATATAATTTTGCTAGTTAAAGTATGACTATCTTCTCACCGGAGACAAAAAGTAAAAGTAACACAATACACTCTTTTTTTTTCTAAATAATAAATTTAATTTTACTTTTATGAAGATTAAAAAATATATAATTAATATGGTTAAATTATAATTTTTAATATTTTTTCAAATAGTAATGACTCATATTTCAAAGTTATGGATTTAGATAAATAGGTGGCAATAGTTACAATATTTGTTTTATAATTTGATTTATAGAAATAGAATAGTAGTGTATTTCTTGATTAAATGCATATTAAATAGCAATAAAATAAAATCGTAAAGTACGGACGTAATGAGTAGTAAATAATGATATTGTAATTTGCAAAAATTAGTACTTTTTGTTCTTTTATTTTAGCAAAATTAACTAATCTTTTCCTACATTTTGGATAATATATTAATTTTTTCTTATATTTTAGTCAATTTTTTCCTACTTTTTTCATAAAATACTAGGATAGACCAGTTAATTTGGACAAAATTAATGGATAAAATAGTAATTCTTCAATGAAATTTTGTTGATTCCAATGTAAGTAAAATGACATTTTCATCTTTTTAAATTAATGAACGGAAAAAAAAATGCAAAAACTTAACAAAAAGACATACTAGTTCAACTTGAATTAAACATTAAAGAAAAATTAGTATATTTTAAAAAATAAACATTAAAGAAAAATTAGTATATTTTAAAAAATGCATAGATAGACTATTAATTTTAATAAAATATAAGGATTTTTTTTTAAAAAAAAATGACAGTCAATAATTGACTAAGTGTATAAGCTATGGGTATATACATTTAATTTTAGCAAGAGGATGGATGTATGTATGTGAACGAGGGAATAATCAAATGGACGAAAATATCCTTGAAGGTAAAGTGATATATTCCTAGCAACATTACCATTAGACATTAGTATTAGAAAAAGAAGAACATTAATGTAAATAATAAATAAATACAAAATTTGCTGCTAATCTTTGTTATACTCATAAATGGGAGGGAATAATTTGATGGAAAAAGAAATCCTATAACTCGGTTACAGATTGTTTAGATGGAGGTTATTTGATAGACTTGGAGAGTAAAGTAAGATAGAGGGGGTTATTTAATCGTTTGGAAAGAGAGTTTGAGAGAGAGTGCGGGTTTTTAAAGATTATTTAAGGGGTTAAAAACCCGTGTGGGGGTGTAAGCATGGTTAAAAATTTAATTTTCAAAATTATCCATAATTATATTTGTAAATCTTTCATGACAAGGATATTTTCGTAATATTTATATTTAACACTACCTTCCTCTACCGTTAAACCAAATAAAACAATGTTATTAAAACCTTCGTTCACCATACCTTCCCCACAAACAAAAAAAAAAAAAAAAAAAAAAATGCGAATGCTCTAACTATAGACTAGACAAGTTTACTCGGCAATTTTGGAACATGAGTACTCTCTTACAGTCTATTGCTAGACCCCGGTGGTCTGTACTTGTAGTCACATCATTAGGTGGTTGGCCGTGATAATGAAATGTAGTAGGATTAGATGTGAGAATTAGAATGGAATAACAGAAAACTCTCTTATAGTAAATTTTTTTAGTTTCATGTGCAAGACTAACAATACCTGGACAGGGAAGTGTCCTGTGGCTCGTCTGTATTGGTTATGGTCATTGATTTGTCTGGCAAGATATTTGGTGTAAACGATGTTGTTTCGCAAAATAACTTCAAAAGTATTGTGACGGAAAATAGATACCTATTTCTGGCATACGCTATTATATTGTGTGGTGATACATATACGCATCGATTAAGATCAAAGACGAGAGAGTTACACTATTGTGTACTCCCAATTATCATTTCGGTGCAACGAATTTTGAATGTTTGTGGCTGAGATAGTGAAAGAGATGAACTTAATGATGGTATTCAGAAATACATCCATATGTTTAAATATTACAGAAATTTGCTAGAACTAAATTCTATGTTGTTGAGGAATTTATTAGGGTCATTCTCTACTTAGTGATAGACTATAACGGTTCGCAAGTGTGTAATGAGAAGAAATGGTTGAGTCTAATGGATATCAACAGACACAATGTTCGCGATAATATGCTCGGATACAATTCATTACTCACGAAACTATGTTTCGATGGAGGTGAGCCATGTGTATAACTTTGAAGTATGGCAATCCTGATGCGCATATACGTGCTCTATGACTTTCACTTTTCACGCTCCAAGTTTCTCGCAGAGAGAAGGTGACTACGAGATCAATTAGAGCATTCGGCTAATAGTAAGGAAGTACCTACGGATAAGTTTACTCTCTCCTAATCCTTCTCGGTACTTCGACTGGAAAGAACAAAGTGCAAGGAAATACCTTTTAGACATTATTGGAGGGTGTCTTCTTGTTTAACAATGAGAATTCTATATCTCCCTAAAGATGTTTGTTGCCAGAATCTCTCGTCTTGAAATCTCGATATGTCTCTTAGAAAGTACCCAATTTGTGTTTGCATACACGGAACCTATGATTGACTTCACATAACTTTTTCCTTCTTTCCTGCTCCTCAAAGAATCTATTATTCTTCTGAAGAATCCACAAGTTGGTAGGGCAATGAATTCTTTTGATCAAGATCATGAATCATACAGATCTCTTTTGTCCATGGTTCCACAACGTGATAGGCTTGGCCATGTGCGACATGAATCCAAATAGACGTCACAACTGGTTTTTGTCCCTCCTCCTCCGGTCAAGGAACTCCCATACAAGCCATGTTAATAGTAAAAGAACAATTCTCGTATATAGCATCGTGTTTCAACATAATATAGTTAAGGCTCTTTCATGGGACACTCCATTTTGGAAGCAGGTGTTGAATTTCCATGTCAGATTGATAGTTAATTAAATCTGTTGTAATGTTCATCACCAAAGACATCTGCCAATACACAACTTTTGTGTTTCTAAACTAAAGAGTCTCGGAACAATCAGCTTTGGTGCAATAGATTGCCAATGAATTGCTCAGATATCCTCTGTCTCATTTCGCAGGAAACTCTGCTTGCACATCTAAGAGCTGGCTACTGTTTCTTACACAAGGGTTAATCAGCTCATTCAATAGTTAGAGAAAGACCCTAAATATGTATGATATATAAAGGGACACCACTTCATTTCTCGCAACGGTTCCTGAGCCCTCCAGGACATTCTATTGGACAGCTCCACTGCTACTCGTCTCTAATCAAAAATTAGATTACTTAGAAAAATAAATAACCGACAATTACAATCATCAAAGTGACTATAAACGGGATTATCTTACTCGTCTATACATATAACACAAACATAAATTTGGATAACAAGAATATACTCAATTAGTAAGTCTACTCTATAACCTGATATAATACAGCGTATATTAACGTTTACCCTCTCCTTCTTTCGATCTTCCACTAACACGATTTTCTTACCTTGTGAAGGTTGAATGTTACTCATCTCTACCAAACTGCTGAACCATATCATAGATAACAATAGGCCAAACCCAGTCTTCATTGGCTCCTTAAATAAGGAAGATACCTAAATAGAACAGTTCCGTTACAACATTTAAAGGGATACAGAGAGACAGAACGACGATGTGCGTGAGAGAGCAGTATAGATAGAACGTACCATGAGAGAAGCATTGAGAGATCTCTGGAGGGACCCATGTTACTTAGGCACGGGGATTAGGAAGCCTCGAGGCCACTGAAACCCTTCATTCATGATGGAGTCGGCTCAGATGCCTCAAGTAATGTAGCTACGAGCTAAGAAGGATAAGTCGAAGTGAGGTGTCTCATAGGATTAATCCTGAGACACGAGATACACAGCATGACGGAAGGATGGATCGTTGTGAAATTTTAGCAGCCTGTGATGAATCTGAACTTTCATTCGTACAGAGTCATGTGCTGCATATCTGCGGTGTGTGATTTCTTTACTTTTGGACTATCTATCATATGTATTTATCAATATACGCTCACAGATGGCCATATACTCCAAATAAGTCAACCATACTCCTAAATCATTAGCGGAGAAATAATGTAAAAGTATCTCAGAAGATGCACGCTAAGGCCCTGATAATCACAGTTGATCAGAAACAGAAAAAATCGCCCACGTGAGGTGGTGCAACGAATATGTCATAGAGTGCGCGCTATATACGTGATATGAACAAAAAGTGCAGGTCGGACTTGTATCATTTGTAAGGGTTCAGATGCGTGATCGCTCTCAAGCATAACGGCAGACCGTCTAGTCGGCACATTCATTTAACAAAGAGGTTTCTCTTCATCATAATTAATCCAATATATCATAAACCTTCTTCTCCTCCTGAGTCAAAATGACTATACCAATGCGTTTAAAACAACTCCTAACTTATAACCACTCCCGCCAATAAAAGTCAAACTAGAAATACATATCTACTGCTTCTTATCTCGTCATATAAAAAAAAAAAAAAAAAAAAAAAAACATTTACCATACTTTTTCATACCATATTTTACAATATATTACTTTAACGATCCCTCCCTCTCTTCATCCAAACAAATCATATATATATATATATATGTAGAGAGAGAGAGAGAGAGAGAGAGAGAGTTGGTTAGCAAACTCTTTAGCATAATGCAGTGGCCGAGGCTGAGGAGTGGCATTAGAATTCAACCACTCACCACTCGAGGAACGTTGTTTAAGCCTTAATTTTTGGATTTTTGAGTTGTTCATTCGTGTGCATATTTTTTACTTTTGACTACTACTAATATAAAAGTAAAATACCAAAATAATACTATACATTACGGTATATTACATATTAGTCCCTGTAGTTTAGAGAAATCGATTTATCTAGTCCTTTCCTTTTGAAAAATACACTATTTAGTTCATGTGATTTAGAGTTGTTGGACTAACAGGTCCTTCATTCCAATTTTATACTCTTTTCCGTTAAATGCCTACCTAATGAAAAGATAAACATAACTTTCTAATGATTTTGCTAAAATATTCTTTTAGAATCCTACGACAAATCCATGATCATAAACTATAAAAATTACATCATAATTTAATAAAATCTATATAAAAAAAGTGAATTTATAAATAGGGTTACAAATACAGTACTTTGCTCTTACTAGGCATTTGATAGAAAAAAAGTATAAGTTTTGGATGAAAGGACTTATTATTCCAAAGATTGCAAACTATGGGGATTAAATAATATATTTTTCATAAAACGTGGATAAAATAGTCAATTTTGCCAAATCACAGAGACTAAATAGTAATTTACCTTATGAATTAAATAAAGTGCACGAGTGTCTGCGTTTGCTGTAGACTAACTACAACTGATCAAACCACCTCTTTGTGCACTTTCATACTTTCCATTCCGTTCCCACTGGTTCTTTTTTTTTTGTCCTGGATTCTAGAGGCCCTAATACTGCAATTTCTGCTTCGATTTTCGCGATGGGTATGGAGCATTTATGGCCATTCGACGAGAGAAATGAAACCAGAAGCACATGTCTGTAGTTGCAGTAAAATCACCTGTGCTTTTGTTTAACTTCTCTACTTTCACTTCTGGTAACAAAAGAAACTTCAGATTATTTTCATGAGCTATTTTAATGGAAGCTGCAAGCTCTAAAGATAGTTCAGTGGCCTCGAGTCCTTTCCCGTCGCCTAGTATTGGAGTCCTCCTAAAGATAAAGATCATTTCATGGTAACGAATATAAATATGACAATTCCGCACATCGTTTCTGTATCCTTTAAATGTTGAACTGAACTGTTTAGGATCTTCTTTTAGGAGCCAAGAGACTGGTTTGCCTGTTACAGTTCGAGTTCGAGTTGGAGAGAGAACATTCAACCTTCACAAGGTAAGAACGAAGGAAGCAAAAAAGAGCTAACTTATATAGCTACTTCAGGTTAAAAGCTTACTATGGAATTCTTTTCTTTGTTTTTGTTATTTGTAGAATCCCTTGTCTTTGAAGAGCGGATATTTCAAGAAACAATTGATTGAAACAACTGAGCTTGAACTGCCAAAAGAATTCCCTGGAGGGCCAGAAACCTTTGAGATGATTGCTTTATTCATTTATGGTTCTTCCACATTGATCGATCCTTTTAACATAGCAGCTCTTAGATGTGCAGCAGAGTTCCTCGAAATGACAGAGGAGCACTGCTCTGGCAATCTTTGCCAGCGTTTCGATCTTTATTTGAACCAAGTTGTGTTGCAGAGTTGGGATGATACCTTAATTGTTCTCCAGAGATGTCAAACTCTGCTTCCATGGTCTGAAGAGCTACTAATAGTTGGACGATGCATCGAGTCTTTAGCTTTCATGGCTTGTATGGAGATTCTTGACCCGGAAAGGAGGAGGGACAAACCAGTTGTTACGTTGGATTCATTAGCAGGCCAAGCTTGGAGTTGTGAAATGGCAAAAGAGATTGTGATTCATGATCTTTGGATCAAAGATCTCATTGCCCTACCATTTGGATTCTTCAGAAGAATAATAGGATCTTTGAGGAGGCAGGGAATGAAGGAAAAGTATGTGAGTCCAATCATAGTTCTGTATGCAAACAAATGGGTACTTTCTAAGAAGACAAGACAATTCTGGGAGAATTCTGGCAACAAAATTGGGGATATTGATGCTAGTAACAGAGCTTCAATAATTCTAAAAGGTATTCTTGATTTGTTTCCAGTGAGAGAGAAGGCTAGGAGAGTAATACCTGTAGGATTTTACTTTGCATTGCTTTCTAAGTCTTTTGAAGTTGGGTTGAAAAGTGAAAGCAGAGCAAAGTTACAAGATCAGATTGCATCTCAGTTACACATGGCTCAAGTTGAAGATTTTCTCATTCCAAACAGTGGTATAGACTCCATTTCTTCCACTATGGAGTTAGCTACAATGGAAAGCATATTCTCCACATATTTGTCTTTTAACATGGAGTCGAACCATATCCCTTCATCCAGCAACTCAATCGTTGCAGAATTATGGGATACATACCTCTCTCTTATCGCTTCTGATCCCAAAATGGAGCCTAAAAGGTTCATAGAACTTGTTGAAACAGTACCAATATCTTGCAGACAGAATCATGACCAACTGTACAGAGCAGTGGACACTTTCCTGCAGGTAGTTAGTCTTCAGAAACTAAAATTTACTGTTTCTCACTTCCTCTAAATTCTCACTAATCCTACTCATTTCTTCAGGCACACCTAGATGTGACACAAGAAGAGAAGGGGGCAGCATGTAAATACCTCAATTGCCAGAAACTGTCACAAGAGGCATGCATTGAAGCAGTTCAAAATGAATTGATGCCTTTACGTTTGATTGTCCAGGCTCTTTTTGTTCAACAGCTGAATACACACCAAGTTTTCAAAGAATGCTCAGACTCATCAAGATTTGCACACTGTGGAGAATTCTCCGGAAGCCTCTCAAGCTCAAGGTGTCCTAACTCCAAGAGCCAAAATCTAGCTGAGAGCCCATACAGTGATGGAGCAGAGCCAGTAAGTAAAACATTGAATTTCTTGCTGCAAAATGACATTGCAGCTCAAAGATATGAGTTATCAAGGAAGGAATATGAGTCTACAAGTTTTAGAATTCAGAACCTTGAACAAGAGCTCTTGTCCTTGAAACAAAGCATGAAACCATATGGCATGGAAAGTAGATCATTAAGCAAGAAGAGGAACCCAGTTGGACAAGTTACAGGTTGCATCAGTTCCGTGAATTTTGCTTCACAAAGAAGGTATGCTAGTAGGCTACTGAAAGTCTTCCGCCGAATCACCTTGTTCGGAAATAGAAAATCAAAGACAAAGCCAGGGAAATCTGGCCAGTCGGCCAAAACGGTGTAGCAGGAAAATCTCAGGCGAAAAATATGGATGATAATCAAGAAAAAGTAAATGAAAATTACATTTGTGCAAATGCCATATAAAATATATTAAATTAAAGTTATTGCCTTGTACAAAAGTTAAAGAGAAATAATTCAGGAAAGCTGAGAAACATAAAGTAGCTATTGACAGAAGCCATTAGTTCAATTTTCAAGTATACTTGCTCTTTGGACTCAAAAGAATGTATTGTACTGTTATCAGATGGCAACATTTGCTAAAATTAGGTTTAAAAGAAAAAAAGGGACTGTCAAATTAAAAGTACAATAAAATTTGGTACCTTCAAATTAGGTAAAAACAAATAATAAAATAAAAAAAGGAGACCCTAAAAATAAAAAGTACAGCAACATTTGAAATATGACAGACATAATGAAAGATGAGGCTTGCTATGAATAAACCACGAGCACTTGATGACAATAATTAGGAACCAGTTTAAGCCTAGATGCTATTTTCCTCACTCGAGATGAACCAAGGAGAAGGGGGAGCAGCACAATACACCCAACATCTTAACTATCAATTCACCAAGCCGACCATGCCAATCCGTCAGCATAAAACAGAGACTATCCCAAGCAGTATAGTACAGTTCACCTTTTTGACTTTTTTTGTCAAAAGGGACTATATGCCACTCAATACTATCTCAAACGAGCAATCATACACTCTTTCAAATGCCGGAGTCATGTGATAAAAACACAAATCAGAAGACAAGATTTAGAATGAAATGCCCCTGCAATCAAAATATGCTACCACAATAATGATAGAATTTCTATAGATGATAATCTGCCTAATTAAGAAAAGTTGGTAGCAGTCTTATAAGAGCAGGAAAAACTATACTCCATCAACTCCTTTTCCATGTGCATATGAAAGCTAGTTGACACCCAACTTAATATATGCAAGCAGGCAACTCGAATATTTCGAAGCATAGAGACAATCAGTAAATTACTGAATGCACAGGATGTGAATGCTAGGTAAGCATCCCAGAAAATAACCTTCAGTTTCAGAAGAAACAAGACATTAAATAAACTGTCTATAAGCGACATGATGCCAGACATTAAAACCTAGAAATTTATATGATGAGATTCTTCTAGTACTGCTGATTGTCCGGCCAAGCATTAGAACATTGATTATGTTAGTCCTCAGATACCTGTGGTAAGAAAATAGAAAATTTATCCTTTTTAAGAATTATGCAAAGAAACGCAGGGAAAACAAATGACCAAGAATAGAGCTAATATAATTATCACTAAGAGTTGTGCTCACATAGTGAGCATAATCACATGATAATCACATGCTAAACTGCACAATAAGTACCTGAAAGAATTGACATGATAACGCCCTTCACTTTACACTAACGCATTTATCAGCTTGCTCTGCAACATCGTCAAAACTTTCAAGAGATGACCCTGAAACATCCTTTATTTTGGTTGCTGAAGAGTCTTTTCCATCATCTGAATGAGAGAGCTTTGAGTCATTTGCCTCATCAGTTGTGTTACGTTGTGAGTCCTTCCCCTGCTCAGTTGCATCAGAAAGCTGCGAGTCCTTCCCCCCTTCAGTTGCATCTTGAAGCTGTGATCCCTTCCCCTCTTCAGTTGCATCTTGAAGCTGTGAGCCCTTCACCTTTTCAGTTGCACCTGGCAGCTGCGAGTCCTTCCCCTTTTCAGTTGCATCTGGAAGCTGTGAGTCCTTTTCTCCTTTAGTTGAATCAGGAAGTTGCAAATTATTCCCATCTGTAGTTGCATCTGGAAGCAGTGAGGCCATCCCCTCTTTGGTTGCATCAGTGACTTGTGAATAATTTCCTTCTTTAGTTGCATTAGGAAGCTGCGAGTCCCTTCCGTCTTTAGTTGCATCAGGGAGCTGCAAGTCCTTCGCCCCTTCACTTGCATCAGGAATTTCCACATCATTTATCTCTTTAGTCGCGTCAAGGGGTTCCATATCATTTGCCTCTTTAGTTGCATCAGGGAGCTCTGTGTCATTTGTTTCTTTAATTGTTGTATCATGCAGCTGATTGCCATTGATCTTGTTTGTTGTGTCATGAGGCTTAGAGCCATGAACCTCATTGGTTTCTTTCCTAGAAACCTGGACATCATTCATCTTATTAGTTTGATCACAAGTCTCAGAATCATCAACCTCTTTGGTTGCTGCATCACAGGCTTGTGAATCCTTGATCTCATCAGCAGAATTACAAGGCTGAGAGTTACTAATGTCATTAGATGCATTGAGCAATGAATCATCAACCCTGTTCACCACAACATGTAGCTCTGTGGTATTTCCATCACCAGGTGTTAGGTACAACTGTTGTGCATCAACATCATCATCTTCCTGATGTAATTCACCAACTTCATCCTCTGCCCGACGTAACTGTAACTGATCAACCTCAATAATTGCACCATAAAACTGAGATTGGTCATCTTCACTAGCTTCATAATATTCCATGGCATCATCCTTTCTCCTGCGTTTTATGGTTCCCTTTCTTCTTACCCTCTCCTTCCCCCTAGTCCTTTTCCCAAGTTCTATTTGTGGAACAGCTGATGGTGTGACTGGACTTCCAGTCTGGTCCCTTAAACAGTCCTGTGCTATAAACCTGATCCTTGTAATTGACTCAAATTGTTGTCCATCCAACCCTTTTGTTGAGAATGAATCTGCTAAGTAGGCAATTTCCCTTAAACCGGATATCTAAAACAGTTAAAACATAAACCATTAGAGAATGCATCATTTACAAACTACAATAACTAGAAAAATGTGCAATAAATTTTGAGAATACCCTACCGTTCTTTGGAACTCAGATGATAGAGATATAGGCCTCCCTACAACTTTACGGGTAATTTTAGCGTACCATTGCATGTATTCACTTTCATCTACACCATCATCTCCATCCACAATATGGATCCGACGGTCCAACCATTCAGTAAGTTCTGACTCCATTTTCCCAGACAAGTCTACCCCACCATCAACTCCTCGACTCTTTCTCACCCATCGAACCACATCTTCAGGAATTGATTGAAGCATGCCATATTGCCGTAGACAGCGATCAGGTAGGTGTCTCTCTGCCTTATCAAAGCATATAAGCATTGTCTTTGATCTTCCCAAAATCAAAGTATCTCTGATTTTTTCTGGTATAACTGTACTGTCCATACTTTTATATGGAAGCCACTCCACCTACATATCATCATCATACCAATTGCATTATCTTACTGTGGCCAGTAAAAGAGGAACAAGAAATTAAAAGTAAACAGAACAAGTACTGAACAATCAGCATGATAAACCTACATCACTTGGCTTCAACGAATCCAATGCCTTGCGGTAAAAAACAACATCACGGTTTGTTGTTGGCCCACTTTGTTTTCCCTTCCACCTAAGTACAAATGGAAAATGATCGTGGATGGGATCCCGATTGAGCTTTGGTCGACCAATATTCAGATGAAAGTAACTCCAACACTGCAGGGAGTAAGAATGAGTCAAAGCCAGGACTATAATTTAAGGCTACTACCACAGAATTGAGATTAGTAGCCTCAAAAATAAATCCTTCCACCATTCTATCCCATTCAATTCGAAAAATAAAGGTTACACCAATTTCCAAGGCAATAAATAAACAAATAAAGTGAAAGTGCATATAACCTGTAGCAGGGTTAAACAGCCACAGATGGTACTTTGAGATTTAACACATGCATTGCCAAGCGCTCTATATAAGAAGGCCAGTGCTGCTGCCCCCCAGGCGTAATTTCCAGCTTCTTCAAAATTTTCAAACAATGGAAGGTACATAACAGGAACTTTATTCCCGGTTGTCGTAGAGAATATTGTACTTCCCACAAGATACAGAAGATAAGCACGTGTGCAGCGCTCAACCTCCTCAGTCAGAGCATCTTCAGGACATTGAGAAAAGAACTCCTTCAACCAACTTAGCTTCACCATTCCACCACTTGCATAGTTTGAATCAGGTGCTTTCCCTAGAAGCCTTTCACAGATGGAGCTGCAAGTTGTATGCGTTATTCCAATAACAGGCTTCCCATCAATTGCCAATCCTAGTAATAATGCAACATCTTGAAGAGTCACTGTCATTTCACCAACAGTAAAGTGAAATGTATTCGTTTCCCTCCTCCACCTCTCAACTAGTGCAGAGATGAGAGGATTATCTAAACTAATAGCAGGAATCTTTCTCAAGTACCCAAATCCAGCCCTCTCTACCAACTCTATCTGTTTTGGAGTAAGCTTCCATTCTCCCAACTTGGAGGTGTGCTCATGGCATCTTAGTGCACCACGTTCCTATAGAAATTTTCACATAAACTTCTTGTTAAAAAGACCATTAAGCTACTTTAATAGTTAAATAGTATGCGTCCATTCATAAATGTCAATTCTCCATCATGTACCTTTCTAAACACCTAGTTTATAATTTAAAAACAAAACATACATTTGTATCTTTGGCTAACCATAGTATTTTTAGGGCAAAATCATTGCTGGAAACTCAATCCAAAAAAGTCATGTATGAGTGAATATATAGATAGGAGAACTCGTTTGATTGTATGTCACCTGGCCATCCCAAACAGCAGCAGAAACATGTTTGTCTTGATCGTACAGTACAGAGTCATCAACAGGTCCAGGATTGGCATCCATTCCTAATTATACAAAAAAGAAACAACTGCCAAAAAAAAAAAAAAAAGAGTAAAAATTTAGCTCCACAAAGCAAATAAATTTTTAATTTCAAGAAATCCCATTTCTGATGCCATTACCAAGAAAGGACTGAACAGACAATGCACAAAGTATGTAGAGACCACAATTCAGAAGGGATTAAAAGTTTAGTACTTAGCAAGCTTTTGCATATCACTTGACAAAAAAAGTTCCAAACTGAAACTTCGTTAATTTAATAGTTGCCTGGTGCATCTCCATTATTCACCACAAACTTGCATGGAATAATAATCAAGCACTAGAATCCATTTACATTGCCAAAATCGATATTTGCATAAATGCAATAAATCAAATATACATTATTAACCCTAGAAATCTTATCAGTTGAAATTACAGCAAAAGAACTCAAAACCCTAACTAGAAACAAAGAAACTAATTCTCCTTCCATTCTCTTGCGCGCGAAAACAGGGAAGGGAAAGAATTACTTAACAAACAGAAATTAAAAAACCAGTAAAACGACGACGGAGAAGATGAGAAAACATGAAAGAACGAAGAACGAGCAAGGGGAGAAGAGAAATTACGAACTAAAACGACGACGGAATTAGACTTCCTCCACCGTGAAGAAGATCAGCAAATACCAAAAACCCAAAACGACGGGTAAGGAGTCGTAGCGACTGAAATGCCCACCGTTTATGTAAAGGCAAAGACCAGATCTCTTTTTTGGGTTCTGTTTATCTAACTTATGGGTGCACGTGGCATCGTTTGATGGCCCTAACCTATTTTTTTATTTTTTTTAGAATAACCTAACCTAATTTTTTTTAAATCTCATAAAATTTTCAAAAAGAATATTTGAATTAAACTAGGCATATAAGTTTGACCTATTTAATTATCTTTTTTCAATCCTTAAAATCCTAATTAATTACTTGATCCGCCTATCTTAGGATATATGAGCTTGTTGCTGGCACAATTTGCCAAATTTTTTTAAAAAAAATAATAAAATAAAAAAATTAAAGAAATTATATTTGATTTTTTTCAAAGAAATGATGAAAATTGAAATGAATTCTTAAGTATATAAAAACTATATTGAATAAATATAATTTTTTCCTAAAACTCTAAATATTTGGATTTTTTTATTATTCTAGAGGCTATTTGAGTTGTAGGATTTAAAATAAAATTATTGTAAATGTTAAGGATATTTTAGAAAATTATTAGATATAAAAAAATTGTATTTTAAACACTTTAACTAATTACAAAAAATATATTAAATATGATATGATATCTAGAAGACTATGTATATTTTAATAATATAAATATTTTATTTTAATCATCTTAAACCTATTAAACTGATGTATTTTTTTTATTTCTCATTGTTCTCTCAAATTTTTATTTCTATTTTTAATAGTATAAACTTATTTAGTATTTTTTATTTTTACAAATTTTTACTATAAAATTATTAATATATAAAAACATACTTCTTTGTTGTGTTTTTAAATTTCTTAACTTATACCTATTAAGTAACATAATTTTATTATCAATGAATTACTTTTTACAAATTTATCATATACATTATATAAATAAAATATTAAATAATCAAAGAATAATATTGTTAATTTCATATACAAAAGTAATAATATTTATAAATTGAATATATAAATTTAAAGTTTATTATTTTAATTTTATAACACCCTCAAATTTTATTTTAACACATTGATCACTTTAATTTATAAATTACACATGTTAACACTTCAACTTATGAAATCATTTCATTAAAGACCTTATCTTACAACAATATTAAATATCAACCAGTGAAAAATATGATAATTATCAACTTAATGCATAAATTTAATCCTAAACTTTTCTCAATTCTCCTAACTATCAACTCCAATTGATGCAATTTATACTAAATCAGTTGCAAAAGCATAGATTATCAAATAAGGACAAAAATGCCCATCTAATAAGATGCAACCATTGTTGTAAATCAGGCATAGCATAGCATATGGAAGACAATGATGTAACACTCAGAGATCCTCATAATTTAGAGAAACCAAGTATTGAATGAATAAATAAAATAAACTAGCAACACATTTACCAGAAAACCCATTCTATATATAATAACAATATACATATACTGAGAGTAGCATTGGCTGTTCAGTAAATTCAACAAAGTTGCAACATAGCATAAAAACTATAGATAACTTACTTCCAAAAAAAAAAAAAAAAAAGGGAAAAAAAAACTTACTTCCAAAAAAAAAAAAAAAAAAAGGGAAAAAAAAAACTATACGGCAAAATAATAAAGCAAACAATTAGCTTGTTAGGGAACTTGAGCAGTTTTAACTACCACAACTGTAGTTATCTCAAGAATGTGAGTTGCGCTTGAACTTTTACATGATTCCAAGGACATTTCTTGCAGCTTCCTTGACTACTTTGTCCATTCATATAATGTGCCGGCAAACTGGCAAATATATACATCAGCACCACCAATCAGTTCTTGGTTTGGGTCTCGTGCAGTCTTCCTTAAGGTAAAAAAAAAAAAAAAAAAAAGGGAAAAAAAACTATAGGCAAATAATAAAGCACAATTAGCTTGTTAGGAACTGAGCAGTTTAACTACACAACTGTAGTTATCTCAGAATGTGAGTTGGCTTGAACTTTACATGATTCCAAGACATTTCTTGCAGCTTCCTTGACTACTTGTCCATTCATATAATGTTGCCGGCAAACTGGCATATAGACATCAGCACCACCAATCAGTTCTGTTTGGGTCTCTGCAGTCTTCCTTAAGGTAAAGAAGGCTCGTTTGCCGCAGAGTTCACATCTTGCAGTCAACTTGGTTACAGTATCAGCAAGAGGAATTATGTCAAGCACAGAACCGAAGCTTCTCCTGCCAATCAAAGTGGTTTTCCCGTTAATAGGAATGCTAATGCTTATGTGTATTGTACATAGTGAAAGAAAGACCACAAGTCAAAAGCAGAGGAACCAACTCTTGTAAATTGAAGATTTGTGAAAAAACTAACAAAAAGTTACTGATTTGAAAACCAAGTTATGGAGGCCTGAAGTCAAAGGGATCAAGTAAATGTCTCTTGGAAGCCAAAAAGAAGTTTAGAACCTTTGATTTGCAAGCTGCTGCCGGCAAAAATATTTTGAAACAGCAAACAGCCATTTCACCAAGTTGCAAATATTTCATAGCAATCAATATTGGTCAATAGTAACATATTATCAATATATCATACAATTTAAAAGACAAATATCCAGAAACATGTACCAAATCAATAGAAACAGATCGAATATTTGAACACTAGTAAGAATACTAACTAAAGTTCATATGTTAAGCAGCACCTCAAATAATCTCCGTCAAGGCCTGCCACAATTACAGTTTTTCCATCATGATCAACAGCCTTGCAGCAGAAATCATAAAGATCTTCAAAAAATTGAGCTTCATCAATACCAATGACATCAAGCTGTCAACAAGAAGCGGTAATTTGATAAGACACAAAATAAATAAATCATTTTTGCCAATTTATCAGAACATGCAGAACTCGTTCTACAAATAACTAATTTCAGATTTTTTTTTTTTTTTCTTTTTTGTGCAATAACTGGATGAGCAGTATTTCTAACTCTCTTCCACTTAACCCAAAATTTAGCAAAAAGTGGAATCAGAAGTGGGCTATTATTGTTCCTTCAGAAACCTAATTGGCCTACTGCTAAAAGTTCTGGGTTTGAGTTTATTCCTCCAAATCTTTATTTCTTGACTTTTTTTCCCCTTTCCTGAAATAAACCAAACAATTAAAAACCCCTAAATCAACCAAATCAAACGAATTTCCAGCATCTTCCAACTCATAAAAGCATTATGTATTAAACTTTCCAGTTCCCACAACATATGGGCTGGCATTTATTGAATTAAAAATTATAATTTAGTTCTTATATTCATCCATAATTAAACAAACAAGTAAACGAAACCTATTTCAATTTCTCATGGCCCCAACTAGATCATTAAAAGTTAAAAATAACAATTAAATAAAATTTAACTACCAAAAACAAATTCCAGCGTTATTATGAATCAGTGATAAATAAACGAGCAATCAAATAACAACAACATCAGAGGCTGCTTAAGAAAAGTTAAAATTTTGGATCGGGGAAAGCAAGCACCTTTTGATAAGCGTCATCCCCAAACTTATGTTGAAAGGATGTTAGATCAGGCAACGCCCAACAAGGAAACTTCAAGCCATCGTGTGTAACAACTGAATCCTTAGCATATCTTGTATCCTTGGCTGATTTTATCATTGCCACATTTCTGCACAGAGTTTTATCAAGACCCAACTTGAACCAGCAAAATATAAAAAGGAAAATTGACCCACAGTTTAACCAAAATAACACACCTGCCCTTGCTGCTTTCAGACTTAATCCGACGGAGGAGAGCAGTGGTTTTTCCGGCGAACATAGGGCCCACAATGACATGAATCTCACCAACTTCTGCTAATGCCTTGTGTTGTCCATCTATAGATGTCAATGAAATAGATGACCTGAAAGAAGTCATTGAGTATTTAATAGGTCGAAGATTAGGGTTTACAGAGAGGAGATTGAGAATTTGGGGATTTAAGGAAGGAAGAACTGGTGGTGGGAGAAGTGGATTTCTTCTTTCAAATAAATAGCATGAGAATTGGTTTTCGAATTTTGGCGTTTCAGAGTTATTTTAAACAAATGGAGGGAAAGGAATTGGATTTGAAGAAATTGGAATTTTGGAGGGAAAGCTCCAAAATAAAGGTTTGGCGGAGCTGTACGATCAGTGATCAACTGGTCGGCATATCTTTTCCTTTTTAAATCTTTATATCACGTGTGGAAATTTGTAATTCCATATGGTGGGTTGCACCCTATAAATCGTAGGTCCACGAAATTTTAATTTACTTTAACAACGCCTCTTATGTTTGACTAGTATTTTATTACTGGCCAGTTCCGTGCTTCTAGTGCGGTTATTGTTTAAATATTATTATTATTTATTTTAATATTAATCAAATTGATAATTAACATACATTTTTTTTATTCAAAACTTAATCACGTAAAATATTTTTCTCTTTTTTAATTAATGGACTTTATAAAATGAAAACAAGAATGATATTTCAAAACGAGAGATAAAAAATTTAAATTCATTGAACAAAAAAGAGTAAATAAGTTAGATTAGAAAATAATTTATGTTGTATTGAAATTAATATTTTCTTGGTTAGTATTTATCTGAATGAAAATTAAATTTTAAAATTCTAAAAAGATCTAATTATTTATATGTTGATTTAAAAAATAATAATAATAAATTAATTTATAAAAAATATACATCCAATCAAATTGTATAAAAATTCAAAAAAAATTTCAAAAATTTCAAAAAAAAGAGAAATACAATGGTGATTGTAGAGAGAAGCTTTAAATCTCCTCTTTATTTCAGCCTATATATATATATATATATATAAAAGCAAAAATTATAATTTCTTTTTTCTTTTTGTCTGCATATGTGCTTCTATATCGTGATGATAATTATTAGTATAGGATTATCCTTTCTTTACGAAAAACTCAATAAATAATTATTCTAACTTTAAATTGATAATTAATATTTAAAATTAAATTCAGCTTCAAATTCTCATCTGACTCATTCTCCTCTCTAATACTAACAAAAATTAATATTTTTAGTTTTATTTATTTATTTATTTATTCCATTTTATGTGTGATCTTTGATGCTATATATACATATATATTGTAATTGAAATGAGTAATAAATAAAATACCACTTTTCTTCCATTTTTTTTAAATTATGATTAATTTACAAGCTCTTAATGTTTGGCACGCTCTTACATTTTTTAAAAATAAAGAATAAATATCATTTAAAAAAATAAAGAATAAATATGAGAAAATCAAATTATAATAAATATTTATAAGGCATCACATTTTTTTTTCTTATCATGATCGGAAATTATTTGATTCTTTATTAACTTACTCACTTCATTTTATTTTAATAGTAATAAATAGACATTTTATCTTGTTCCACTTTAAGTGCTTATTTAAAATTTTGAGACTATATTAATTTTTCTTTAATTCTATTTATATTTATTAAGTGTAGTTATTTTTATATTTACATTTAAAAAATATAATTTAGATATTATATTATGTATTTTTAGAAAATCAATGAATTTTATTCATTTTTTAATTATTAAAAAATAGCAAATGTTGTTATTAAAATGGAAGAAAAGATTATTATGTAAATTTTCATTTGTTTAATGTAAATTTTTTGATTCCATTAGATTTCGTGTTCATTGAATGGATAAAGTCTAGTTGTCTCTTTCTATCTCTATATATTTTTATTGTTCTTAGTGTAAAGTTGTCATTGTTGATGGCAACCTGGCAGCTCGGTAGCTTTGTGATTTTTTTCTCTGTAATTTGGATTACGGCTTAAATCTCAAATGATGTAACTTTTAAAATATAAGGAAAAAGCCAATAAAAAAAAATATAAAGATAAAGTAATTAATCATGCTAAAATATAGGGGGTAAAATATAATTTTTGAAAAAAGAAAAAGAGAGAGGGGGGAGGGGGTTTGCTAAGATTATTGCTTTTATGGGATCTATAGGAAACGAAAAATTATTAGGTAGATTTAGTCTACACATCATCTATAGATCCACCCCATCGAATAAAATCACATCAATAGCTTCAATAAAATAAAACAACATCAACAGTATGCTTTTTTCTAACTTATTTCTTATTAATTTTTTCATATTTTCCGTTTAATTATAGTTAAGAAACATAGTTGCGTTAATTTAAGAGTCACTATTATGGGAATTAAAAAAAAAAGAAAAAGCATTAGATAAATTTATAGCTAATGTGGTAAATTAAGTCTACCTAAAAATTTTTCCTTAGAAACTACGAAAGGTTTCATTTTCTTGTGAGATGTTCACAGTTCACATAATCCAATGAGGATTTTTCGGGTGGTGAATATTCTTTTGGTGAATGTCGATTTATAATCTCCTATAATTGGGCCGTTGGTTATGAGGCCCAATTTCTGAGTTAATATGGATCCTTCGACTTGGGCCTATGACTAATCCATTCACGCCAGACCCAATTTCACTTGGCCTTTATGAGATTTCAGATTAGTTATTTAGTTTATGCATATAACCGAAAGTAAGAACTCGTTGGATTCAACGTAGCAATTCAGAACTCAATCAAGTGTGGTTTAATTACTCTTTTCATTTATATTAAGAGTAAAAATTTTTATGTTCAAATCTTTTCAATTACAAGAGTTTTCACGCTGTCTAGTATTATTTTCGCCCAATACATGTTTCAAAGAATATATATATATATATATAAAAAAAATCAATTTTACACTAAGGAACTTGGAATTCTCTAACCATTAACTAAGTTACTGCAAACTAAATGTTACAATTCTTATTGTTTTTTAGATGAGTCTTAAAGGAGATATAAGTCGATAAGAATTGAATTTTTTATTTTTGATTTGATTTTATTTTATTTTATTTTGAAAAGAAAAAACACTAAAAACTACACCATTTAGAATAAGTTATGCTTGTAACATTGTGCGGCAGTTAAAGGAGGATGTCAGTCGAAGGTTGATCAAGAATATGTGAACCCAAAAAAAAAAAAAGAAGAAGCGACACTTGCAAGCTAATCTCATTAAAATTAGGTTCTCTAAAAGCATGATGGTGATCTCTTCAAAGAGCTGAAAATAAAATTTGACTTTTATATTATGAGATAAATATTTTGACCAATATAGTACAGACAAATGAGATGAAGTCTTAGATATAAAGCCATTTTATCTTCCATTTAGAAGCAACACAAATTGACTAATGGATTACTTATTCATAAAAGTCTAACCATTTTTTATTACCCAATTTATAATTGCATTTTGTAGTAATTATATAAACTTTAATAAAATTAAATATTTTACACCAATTTAAAAGTCTTAAATATAATTATATTTTCCTTTCAAAAAGAGAATATAATTTTATTTTCTCTTAAGTCAACCAATTATAGTTTAGATGGTCTTCTCACATATTCTAGAAGATATAAGGAGTGCAAACTCTCGAGGTTGATCTTATTCGCCATAATAGTTATTACCAATTCGATGAATGTTGCTCAAGGAGAAGAGTCACTTTCAGTACAAACGTATCTCGTACATCTTAAAATGAATATTATATATAAAGAATAATATTATTGTATTTTCTTAATTTATTTACTTTTTCTTCCTTCTTAATTTTTATGGAAAAAATGGTACATAACGTGCGAGTTGAACTTACAAAAGAAAGAAGATGATAGCGACGGTGATGGTAGCAAAACCGTTGGAGGAATAGACTATCTTTGCTAGTTCCGTTTTGCTTCTTCTGTACACTTGATGAAAGTTATGGGAGGGGAAGAGAGAGGGAAAAGCAAGTGTTGACGCCTATGGAATGAAGGTTAACTTAATATTTTTGCATATGATATAATATTATATCTGTCTATATTACTAAAATGCTAAAAACTAATATTAATTTTCATATTTTGTCAATATAAATAATAAATTTTTATTATTACATTAGTTTTAAAAAATAAAATAAAATAAATATGTAATCATATATCAATAATTTTTCCATTTATAAAAGCATGAAGAATAGGCCCGTTATTTATGCATTATCATTGTTTCATTGAGGTTGAGATGAATAGGGAAATAACAACATAAATAAAGTAAAAAATAATTAATTTCTGAAATAATGTTATTTAAAAGTATAAAGTAATAAAATAAATAAATAACTGAAAATAAAAAAAAATTGAAAATAAGATAAAATTTTCTTAAAATCAGAATTAGCTTGACTTAACTCCTTACATTTTAAATTTATATTACGGATATTATACAATAAAACCTCTATAAATTAATAATGTTTGGACCATAAAATTTTATTAATTTAGAAAGAAATTCATTAATCAATAAATTAATAATTTATCAATTTAAAGAGTGTTTTCTTGATTCAGTGAATATAAATTAATTATATAAAAGATGATTATACGTTATCACTAATATAATTATCATATTTCGTGAATTAATTTAAAAAGACAGTTCATACTTAATACCACATATATAATAAGGAAAATTAGAGATGAAATCCACCTAGCCTAGATTTAAATTTCAAAAAAAAAAAAAAGATTCATATTTTAATAAATTATCCTATTTATGTTTGTAATTATAGAGAATTAGTAATTTATGATATTGACAATACTATAGGTTTATATAAAGATCTTCCTAAAAATTATTATCTTATTAATTTATCAAAATTATTAATTTTATAAACTGGCCCCAAGTCGGGAATGGAAAAAAAAAATATATTTTAGAGAGATTATTAATTTATGGGATGTTTAACTATATATTATAAATAGATACCTATATGATAATTAATATATTATAGATACCTATTTTTTTATCAATACATTAATGATTATTTTAAAACATCTTATGATTTTAATTTTTTTTTTTTTTTACCTTTTACTAAAGTTTTATGGGCATCAAGATTTGATATTTTCAGTCAATTTAATCCCCTGAATTTGCTTGAATGATTAAAAAGATCATATTTAACATTTTAGGTCAATTTAATATTCAAACTTATTTAAAATGATTAAAAACATAACATATAACATTTTAGATT